TTAAATTTTTATTTAAAAAATCAAAGAATTAAATTAGATCTATTAAAAATTAAAAAAATTAAATAAAATATTGTAATATTGGGCCGCTGGCTTGAAACGAGATTTGGCCGTCCTGACCCTGGCCCAAGAACCTAGGCTTTCAGTCTAGTCCAAAATCTAAAGAAATGGGTTGGGCTTAAAGTTGACACTCAAATAGGTAAACTGTGAGGACAAAATTCCTCTCTTTTTTTTTTTTCTAAATAAGTAACATTTCCTTCTGTGTTATTGGACCCACTTCAAATGGAATCATACCGTGATAAATTTTAACAAAAGTGTAAAAGTGTATCCATGACAAAATGCACTAGGGTCTGAGAAAAGGCTGGTGAATGTTGGGAGAACAAAAAACTGGAAATGAAGATTGCTGGGACTTGAACTAGCAATGGCCCCTCCTTTAACAACCAATCTGACATTTCCAGAAACTTTTGGCTTCTCCAAATCATATTAGCACCAGGGCAGACAAGCAGGGGATAAAATTCATCAATATTACCTCATAGGCCCCATTAGAAAAGCTAAACCCTCATATTGTCCATCACTTTTACTACAGTTTTCTAACTGCATTCACTTCACCAATCACCAACATAGAAGAAAAGTGCATGAACCATTAGCACTTTTTAAGTCCATAAACCAGCATTAACTTTGTTTAGTCGTCTAATACTGTACTTTAGTCGATTAAAGTCGGCACTTTCTCAGAAAGTTAAGTTCCACCCTGCTAGTGATCAACCAAACATGCCCTAACATAATTAGCATTCTGGCTCTGGGTCTTATTAGTTATAACACAGATTAATGGCCCAGCCCAAACTTCCTCCAGAAACTTCCAAAGAGATAGCCAGAAAGATGAGTAACGCTGAAAACCATAGTAAACTATTACCATGATCTTTCTTTGTCATCATCCTCTAGGCACTTTTCCTTTACCATGTTATTCCATGTTTCACCAAACATTCTAGGTAACAACTTACAGCAAACGACTGATAAAATTCTAATGGATGAATCCAGAAACTTTTCTTTCGTACCCTTTTGTTAGGTACAGAGTTTGGTTATGTTTATGGGACATGCTCAAATTTTTGAGTGGGTACTTTTCCATTTTTCCTTGTAGATTTTGACATAAGATGCTATGCTATATGTTCAATAATTCATCTGCACATGCACTGTAAACCCCTTTTAGGACTGGGTTTCTAGAGATCTTGAAAACCATTGCCTACCCTAAATCTTTTCAACATTTGTATACATTGGCCCCCACCATTTGTTGAAATCAGACATTTTAACTAACTTGCCCAAGTCCTTTCATTTCCTAGTTCTACTTTTAGACAGTCTTTGCTCCCTAACAGCTGCTTTCACTAATAACTGATTACATGTCTGACCACTTTATTTTATGTCCTAATCAAATGAGAAACTTCTTTGTGGGATTTGAATTGCCACCTAACTACCTTTAAGACCTTCTCTTCTAGGTAAAATATCCAATTTGGCACATCAACAAAATTAGGTGTATCAATTTTTCTTAAACACAAGAAAAGTTAAAAGATGAGCACTAGAGGGTTCACTTCAAGCCACATAATAGAGGTTCTTGGTCGTCCAAATGATATAAGACTAGAGGAGCACAATGTTAAAAAGTTTGAAAAAGCACAATGAGAAAGAAAATGGTCTCCATAACTGCTATGTGTTAGGTTGTTTTCTTTATCCGTTGGGTTTCTTGCTTTTCCTTTCAACCTCTCAATCTGAGCTTGTTGGCCCTAGTTGTGGAGAAATTCTGTTTATATGAATTTTTTTTGTAAAGTGATGAATCATGAATTTTATAAATGAATAAAAATGACCAAATTCAAAAGCTTTATTGCAAAAAGATTATTCCATAAGAAACATATTTAAAGTTTTAGCTTATAACCATTTAGGAGTTGAAAACAGTTTTTAGAAAACTCAAAAGAACTTCAGTTTTTGCAGCAAAGAAATCTTTTCAAAAACTAAGCTGCATAGACACTACACAATTAGGCTCTAATATATCAGCATCTTCCATTAAGAGGAAAAAAAAAACACTAAATTATGTTTGCAGGAAGTTTCTCCATAAATATTAAATCCTTCATCTCCATGCTTCATTGTCTTGCAGTTGCAGAACTTGTGGCTATATGATAATGAACAAATCAACTAGGAAATCATATACCACTCATTGCTTCAATTGACAGCCAGTCCTTGCCTCTTCAGTTGCCCTCAAACATCAACCTCTTACTTCCCATCCTAGGACAAATCTTATTCCATGCCATTCCTAATTGATCATGTGAAGGACTAAATTACATTAACATATGTGGATGCCAATCAACAAGTAATCCTCAATTTTGTCTATTTCTTCCCAGATTTTAAACAGTGACAAGAATAGGAAATATCTCTAGTCTTCCTCATATGATGTGTTCTCTTTTGGCATTTATCAAACATAGTTGTTTTCTCAATGGATGGTTAATTTATCTACTCACCCCAACCCTTCTCCTCTATTGGCTAATATTCACCAAAGTCATGGTAGGGCAGCAGCACATGTGGAGCATATGCAGAGGGCCAGGTCCTGTTTTTCTTCTTGGACAATACTAATTTTCAATTTGGCCTTTTGATGGCTAAGTAAAACACTAAAAAGGCCTAATTGATATAAAAGGCCTGACCTAAATGTTTCCCTCCATGTTGGACACTTGTTAGACTTTTGTTATTTTGATGTGAAGTTTTTTCATTTAAAATGTAAATTCAATATAAATTTAAAATCTTGTCACTTGGATTTAAAGTTATTAACTTTATATGTTCTCCTTACATAAAAATCTAATTTATCACATGAATCATAGGCTAGCAACAATAACTCTTAACAAATTGTTGAACATTTGATGAGAGAAACTCTAATATGATATTAAAAACTGTTTGTTGGATAAAAAATTTTGAGCATGGTATTGATTAGACGAAAGTAAAGTCAAGACTTTGGCTGGCTTTGGAGGGAAGCTTTGACAAGAAGAAGAGGACATAATCAAGAAAAATTAAAATAAGAAGGTGAAATAATTGAAGAGGAAGGGCATGTAAATAGTTAGGACAAAAAGATGATAGGAACATATAGAGGCAAGAGAGCGAGGGTGGTGCTAAAAAGTGGAAGGCATGACATGCATATGATCAATATGATCACCAACATGCGCACATGGGAACCATCTTCCTTCCACAATCACAAATTTAATCATTCACCATTAAGAACCACACCACACAGCTAGCCTAAGGATAACTTTCAATGGCTTTAGTATTCTTTTTCTTTTTTTTCGATTGCTATTTTTGGGTGGGTGAAAATCAATCAAGGACATCTAAATTGTATTTACCCTAACTTTACTCTTGTTTCAAAATTACTTCGTCCCTCAAAGGCTGACCTCCATCCAACTTAAATTATACACCTGTAAAACGTTGGGTTAATATGTGTGTTCTTATTGATTCAAAAAATAATTCAATCAAGGGGAATTGTATGATTGTAAGGGACGGATAATACTACCTTAAATTTATATGTATAAGGATAGAAGCACCATTTTGTACTCCCTTTAATAAAATTTTTATTCGAAAAAAAATAATAATAAATTTGTGGATTCTCTTTCTCAATTCTACGAGCTCTAGTAAATTGTTTAGTACTAGCAAAAAAAAGTTTTCTTAACTATAAGATGGGCAAAAACATGCCAATTGCTTAATTTATTATTTGTTTAATTACTTGGAAAACTTACAACCACTGTACTTTTGTTCTAGCTGATAAAAAAAACTACACATGTTCCAAAAGTATTAAATAGATATAATAATCTTTTCACATATTTCTTTAATTTATCACTTTCTCTCCATTATACAACAATGCAGCCTGGCTGTGTGTAATTTAAGCCAGAAATCCCAATTTGAGTCACAAGTGTCTTCAATCTACATGTGTAGGTCATGCAACATGTATTCCCACTTTAAACCCAAAAAGATTGATCAATCAATGCTATCATGTTGTGGAATCCACTTAAAATCAAGGGAATATGTGACTTTTTTTTCCCCTTATTAAAAGCTTAATTTAAGTTTCTTCTGATGTGTTTTTGCTACCATTAAGGATACCTCTTTGTTTTTTCAATTAAAAAAATTGAGGACTTTTCCTTTGATACTTCCAAGAGGATTCCCACTTCCCCAAATGAGGAATTTGATAATTAACAACGTCATTTGAATAATCCCCACTTTAATCCAAAAGCTTAATTAGAAGGGAATGGGCAATTTACATGAGCCATGTATAGTACATTTGCATTAACGTTTTGAGCTGGAACATATATATAGCTAACCACCATAAGCCAAATCGACTCATAATTGGACACGATTCGATTCACAAAGATCTGGGCAAAATATTTTAGTTAAAGAAGAATAATTCATCTCCACAATGTTATTATAAAATTTTATAATCTCATGTGTTAATAATTATATTTCTGATCAACTCTTTTTATTCAATAGAATGTGTGAATACATGAAATTTTATAATAACATTGTGGAGATGAATTAATATATATTCATTGATTTAATGTCACATGACTATTGAGAGATTTCATATTATGAGATAACATTTTGTCTGCATCACTTTTAGTAATTGAAGTGAGTTTGATATGTTTTGATAGAGTTGGGATGCCTTTTTTGGATTCATTTTCGTACTGTTTGCATTATTGGATGTGAGATGCTTAATGATATCAGTGTT